TAGTAGATATGCAAGTAGGTGTAGGCTCAATAGGCTAGATGCAAGAAGGTATAACTCTACTTACTATGCCTGCTGTTTACTTAGGTAAGATGAAAATGTTCTCCATGATATTCGGAACAGGGCTGAAAAAATTCATGTATAACTGCATAAAATAATAAAATTGCGATTATATAGACTATATAGGATACAATACTTACAGCTGCGGTTAGTCCTCTAACGTAAAATCGAATATTTTAATGAAATAACACAGTCGAGTGTGGAAAAATCAACCTGCACAAGAGAATAAGATAACAAAAATTAAATAAATTGAATTAGTGAGGTTTCACCTTTTCACGAAACTTTACAAACGAGTTCTTGGTGAAGTTTCAATCAAAATTTTTTCTACAATCAATTCATATATTACTCCTATGAATACGTTAAATTATGAAGGTTTCACCTCTAAACAAATCTTTTAAAAGCGAGTTGTTGGTGAAGGTTCAATTCACGGTGTTTGTAATAAAAGTTCTCAAAAATGCTGGGTTTGAACTGAACACTTACTAAAATTATAGACACAAATGGTTTTGCTGCTGTCAGACACGACTTCTGACAACTAATTTCGTCTGAAATTCAGATCAACATTTTTAGCCGATAATCACTACCGATACCGAAAAATGCTAGAGAATTTCACGGTAATTTTTCGAAAAAGGAAATTAGCATATAATTTAAAAGTATAAAGCAGTACATTACAAAACGGGACAGGATCTTTAGTTTTAATTTGTTCGATCCGACAACAAAATCGCTTGTCTTATTCGAGTCTTCGTAGTGAGTGTTATTCATGTAGCGGGATTACCAGTGCACTATATACTATATTTGAATACTAAAATTCGAATACTATATTAAAAAAATGAAAAATATTTATAGAATAAAATGCTTAAATTCGATTACTATATTTGAATTCGAATTACAATATTATACTTGAATTCGAATTCAAACAGCCGCAGTCGCGGAGATCGTAAGTTACAAGGCGGTCTTTAGCTCAGCTTTTGTAACAATTAAGAAACACTTGCGTAATAAATGATTTTGAACATCAATACTTTCATATTATATATATATAAATTCTACGGCTATCGTATTTTTAACAACGATCGTAAGGCCTATAACGATCATCAGTTATACTATGATTGTAAATTCAATATTGCTGTTTTACTTAAGATGGTCGTAAGCTTACAGCTAAGGTATTCTTAAATAAAATAAATATTCAACCTGAAATATATTTTATAAAAAAATTAGTTGGAAGTTAAATTTATTTTCTATCGTAGCATTGATTTTAATTCATGTAGAACTTCTTCATTGCCTGATTAATGATTAAAAATNCTATGTTGGCTCTATGTAGAAATCGTGTGATTTCTACATGGCCTAGCTGGGCAGAATTTTCACAAAAACCATGAGGCTGCTATATGTCACTTCCACATGTGGCCAATATCGTTACGCCACCTTGGGCCAACATGGGCCCCTTCCACAATTGTTACTAGGGATAGGGGAGAAGGAGGGAGAGGGGGGGAAATGAGAAAAAAATGGGAGAAATGGGAAAAACGCGCATAAAAAAAACTATGGGGAAAATGAGAAAAATGATCAGTTAGTCGATTGGTATGGTCTTTACGAATCGAATGATACGTGTCTCGATGTTTTAGGATGATATTTGTAGGAGGAGATAGATTTTCTAAAGTACCCCTTTTTAGCGGTTTTCTATGAATTTCACGTTTTCTATCAATTTTTTCGAAAAATTCGTGTGAGCAAAATGTCATTGTTTTTACATTTTACGTATGTATGTGAAGTTTCATGATGATCGGATAATAACTGTAGAAGTTTTTCCGGAGGGTAGTCGGTCCCCTTAAGGTATTGTTAAATTGAATGAGTTGAACTTTAGGATATGAATATCAACATTTGCTTGTAAATTATAGCACATAAGGCAATTGACATTTGTATCCCAAAAGCACCGTTTAGCACAATCACATTATATATCGGATTATTGACAATTCTATCACAATTCACCGTGTTGCTACTTGCTAGTAAGTCAATAGTTTCCTATTACTTCAGCAGACACTCTAAACTTGTGCGGAACTCCACTTACGATCTTCGAGCAGGCGTACAGTTACGTTACGTATCTTCCCGCGCAAATATTTTGATAATACCACCTCTAGAGTTACGTCATCATATCAGCACGTACGCCACTCGTAAGTCGATTTTTCGTCCTTACGAAGTTTTGATAATACGGCCCCAGAATAATAGGATTTACTTTGAGACGGTTAGAATTTGTCAGTGTTTACTTTATAACTTAATTTTGCTGGGAAACCCTGCAAACCCCGAAAGATTTTCAGAACAATTTTTTTGTTACCCAATGAAACATCTTTTGTAGAATTTTCTCATTTATGGAAAAAATGCACAATTGTGCTCGTCATATCCGTCCGTCCATCCGTCCGTGACTTCGCGTTTTCGTCCATGATAAAATGCGCTCTCTGTCACTCGCTGCAGTGAGTACTGAGTTATATTTTTTAGAATTTGTGATTAACAGTTACTTGGCAATAAATATGCATTGCGAGAGAACAACTGCATTTAACTAAGCGATGCGTGGGGGCGGCTCCTGAGATTATCATGCGAACAGGAAGTGGTACAAACGAACTAAGTTACTCCGACCTCAGCACGTACCAAGTACCAAGGACCTCAGGAGTTACCGTCGTACTCTGCCATTCAGGAGTTACCACAGATGTGGCAGAGAAAGATATCTTCCTTCGATTATAATTGCCATTATGAAAAAACCATTAACGATGGACCACAAGATTTTAGTCCAGAGATCTAAAATGTAAAAATGCTAAGATGTTGGCTGGTATACTAATTTATAATCACCTGGAGGGTTTTGATCAGTTTACCATAGTTGAGTCGCAAGAATCGTATGGGCTGGTATACCATTGTGGGAATCATTTAAAGGTACTGGTTAGTTTGCCATTTTATAATTATCTGGATGGTAATGGTTTGCATGCCACTTTTGTATCATGGCTGATTTAACCCTCTACCGCCATATGTCACTCTCCGGGAACATAACTTTCAACTTAAATTATACGTAAACTATTGAGTGTAGCAGCCTGAGGACGTTTGTACGCAACAGAGAACATTTTAAAGTAACTTTCAACTTAAATTATACGTAAACTATTAAGTGTAGCAACCTGAAGACGTTTGTACGCAACAGAGAACATTTTAAAGTTGTCGTACGTGGCGGCAACCATCAGTGCAAGACATTTTGCGCTCACTAGAACGTATCCTTTTTGGGGAGTAGGCGCGTGACAATATTGCTCCGGTTGCTTGTCAGGCAGAAGAGGGTTAAGTACATTTCTTAACAACACCTGTGACAGTATTTAAGTTAATACTTGACATTAAATTCGAATATATTTATATATGACGTTCAGAAAGACGGCATTTATTATATTGGAACAAACTGATCACTTCTACTACTTTGAGGAATATAACAGTCAAGATTGAAGCCTGTTTGTTACTCCAGTCAAGGTAGTGAGCTCAGAAAATTTGATGGGCCATATTTGATAAATATGACCCGTTTAAACGAGGGTGAAAAGTGCATGGCTATTCGGAAAAAGTCTTGCTAATTTCTATGTGTCAGGTTGTCAACAATCTCATTGATTTGACACACCTCCGGGTGCGGTGGTTGTCAACATTCCACTTGATTCGCGTGGAATGTTGACAACCACTCGAATCAAGTGGATTCGAGTGGTTGACATTTATCTTTCACCTAGTGTGAAAGATAAATGATAAACTTAGTGTGAAAGATAAAACTCTTCGCAGAATGTGGTTGTCAACAATCTACTTGATTTGACACACCGCCGGGCGCAGATGCTCGCAGGCATCGTCACCCATTCTATGAACCCCAAACAGACCCACTGCGGACAACAAGTGGCCGCAGTTCGTGGGATAACCATCGATAGGTTCGCCTTGATCATCAGGCTGCGATTTGAGAAGACCACTCAGCAATTTACTCCCCCAGCTGGAGGTAGACACAGTGCTGCCGTCGACCCACAGCCACTGCGATATTGTGGTGTTCTTTGTGGCGCCCAGCCATGGTCCTTCCACTCCTGCATGACATGATGTTGTGAGAGTGGAAAGAAAGCGAAGTCACATTAAATTGGTCATCCGGTATGTAAGAGTTAACGTTGTAATACGGTATGAAAGTTGAGGTAACTTTAATTAGTGGTACGGTGCGATATAATAGAGAAGTCAACTTTAGATATGATACCAAATAAAAGTTACCTGAACTTAGATGTGAGATATGAAGTAGAATGGAACTGTACTTAGTCGTCCGAAGTAGTAAAGGACGAAGGACTAGTTCAAGCCTCGCTCACCTCGAAGGGAGAGATTAGGGATGATGAACCACTCCCTACATGAAGTAGGGAGAGATTAGTGATGATGAACCACTCCCTACATGAAGTAGGGAGAGATTAGTGATGATGAAGCACTCCCTACATGAAGTAGGGAGAGATAAGGGGTGATGAACCACTCGCTACATGAAGTAGGGAGAGATTAGGGGTGATGAAACACTCCCTACATGAAGTAGGGAGTGTTTCCCTAGAAAGTGCGTCACTATTTGTACAATATTTCCCTAATATTTTCATGAGTGTAGAAGTGATTATAAGGACGAACCTTGTCTAATAAAATTTATTTTACTTTCATTTTATTCTTCCGAACGTTTATTTATTTTTTTAGTTGTTTAATTTTATTTTTTTATATATAATAAAATATATAATATATTTTATTGAATATCAAATATTATATATTAGGTATAATATAATATATATTATATATTATATATAATAAAATATATATAATATATTTTATTATTTATATAAATATATATAAGTTTTAAATAAAATATACTTAATTATATAATTTTTTATTTCCGAATGTTCATTTATTTGATTAATTTTCTTTAAGTTGCTCCGGTTTTGAAGGTTGCAACAATGTTGCTAAGACTACTCCTGGTGGGTGCCCACTTTGTGGTGGGGGCTTGGGGGTTCCTGGGGAGGGCGGGGCTGGTGGAGGGGTACGGGGATGTGCTGGGGGTTGTGTGCCCCGAGTTTGACCCCCAGACCCCCATATGGGACCACGTGGAGATAACCAAAGAGGGGGTCCGGCGAACCGTGATTGAGTTCTTCAAAGTGAGTAATTTTTTACAACACTTCTCTTTAACTTCATTTCTTGTTGTTTGTTTGTCTGCTACAAATCTTATAACCGATATTTCACAACACTTCTCTTTAACAAACACTATTTTACAACACTTCTCTTTAACAAACACTATTTTACAACACTTCTCTTTAACAAACACCATTTTACAACACTTCTCTTTAACAAACACTATTTTACAACACTTCTCTTTAACAAACACTATTTTACAACACTTCTCTTTAACAAACACNGTGAGTAATTTTAGTAATTGTGAGTAATTTTAGTAATTGTGAGTAATTTTAGTAATTGTGAGTAATTTTAGTAATTGTGAGTAATTTTAGTAATTGTGAGTAATTTTAGTAATTGTGAGTAATTTTAGTAATTGTGAGTAATTTTAGTAATTGTGAGTAATTTTAGTAATTGTGAGTAATTTTAGTAATTGTGAGTAATTTTAGTAATTGTGAGTAATTTTAGTAATTGTGAGTAATTTTAGTAATTGTGAGTAATTTTAGTAATTGTGAGTAATTTTAGTAATTGTGAGTAATTTTAGTAATTGTGAGTAATTTTAGTAATTGTGAGTAATTTTAGTAATTGTGAGTAATTTTAGTAATTGTGAGTAATTTTAGTAATTGTGAGTAATTTTAGTAATTGTGAGTAATTTTAGTAATTGTGAGTCATTTTAGTAATTGTGAGTAATTTTAGTAATTGTGAGTCATTTTAGTAATTGTGTGCCATTTTAGTATTTATGAGTAATTCACTACAAACAAGTTATGCATGAAATTTAAAAAGCCAGATATAGGTCATTATGACCCACAAATGGGCAAGCAAGTCAAAAAATTGCATCTCTATTTGGACGCGGTTGACTCATCTAAGTGGGTCATCCTTACCCTCTCATGTCTCTCAGTGTACCATCATTTAGATATATTGTAATGCTAACATTGCTGTGTCTCTGTTGCGGTTGTAAATACATTTGGACGAGACGAATAATTTTTTATTTCCTGTAACACTGACAGGCCATACTCAGAAAAATACACTAGATTTGTCCACATAGCTATGCACATTTTGCTTTTGTGTGGGTCGCCACTACCTAGTTAATTGGTCCGTCAACGGAGCATATCCGCTCACTGCTCAACGTAGGGTGAGAACGTGTGTCAGTATTTGGACAGTATGACCCATTAATGCACCGACATGAATTCATTTTCTATTCATTCATTCATGTAAGACCCATTCATATCCGGCCTAGTAAGCGCTGGTGCCATTATTATTACATAACTGTAACGTTCACTCCAGGACCTGTCAAAGGAAAACAACCGCGGGGGCAGCTACCGCCTGGACATGACGCTGGAGGAGGCCTACAGGGCATACCACAATTATGACTATGGGAATTCACCCCCTTCTACCAAGCGTCTCCTGCGAGCCCTGCAGGACATCTCTGATGCTGCTGCTGAAACCCATGCGGGGGGCATGGGCTCCCAGCCTATGTAAGTGGCGAGAGTACCAGCCGATTGTTGAGTTTTCAGCTAATGTGAGTGGCAAATACGAGTTAGTGGTTTACAAATAATTCGAGTGGGCAGGATTCCGAATCCAATGAGTCAGCTACCTATGCCAATGGCATAAGAGTGTTCGTCCAACTTGAGATACACTTTATTAAGTTTTCGAAGAGCGTTTATGATATTATTCCGTTATATGACGTTAAAAGTACAATCAACAACCACCTCAACGGGTGCTGCTCAGTCACCAGGCGTTATTACAAACTCAGGCACCTCTTCACAATCACTTGAACAGTTGCCACAATTTAGCACCACCACTTTTTCCACATGGGACCACTTACCATGCACCACCACCACCACTTCTTCCACATGGGACCACTCACCATGCACTACCACCTCCACCACTTCTTCCACATGGAACCACTCACCATGCACTACAACCACCACTTCTTCCACATGGGACCACTCACCATGCACTACAACCACCACTTCTTCCACATGGGACAACTCACCATGCACTACCACCACCACTTCTTCCACATGGAACCACTCACAATGCACAACCACTTCCACTTCTTCCACACTTAATCACTCACCATGCACTACCACCACTACTTCTTTCACATGAGGCAACTCACCATGCACTACCACCTCCACCACAAGGTACCACTTCAACAACGAGCAGTTCGAGACGTCGCACGCGATGCTGCAGGCGCGGTGGGGGCGGCTGGTCGGGGCGTTGAAGTCCTTCGACGTGACGGCAGTGAGGTACCTGCTGGGAACGTCCCTTGCCGCCCTACAGGATTTCTACGCCCACTCCAACTGGATCGAGCTGGGGCACGACTCCATCCTTGAAGACTTAGGTCAGTTTGGGTTTCTAAATAATGAAAATAAAATCCTTTGCACTGTGCCTAGGTGGTGAAATGTGATTTTAAACGTTACTGGAGGAGTCTAGGTCTTGCCGTGGCTGTAGGGTGGCCAGGTCTTGCCGGGGCTGTAGGGTGGCAGGTCTTGCCGGGGCTGTAGGGTGGCCAGTTCTTGCCATGGCTGTAGGGCTGTCTCTTATACACATCTAGATGTGTATAAGAGACAGGGTCTTCACTTTGGTGGCCCCGTTCGGCAACCCTTCAGCCATTGAGAAATCTTGAGTTATTTTTTTTATCAATGCACCCAATTTTGTACAAGAAAACATAATTCAGTCAAGTTTCTTCAACTGTTCTGACATGGGGCCGCATTGAACCAGTCTTCAGAGGCTCCCATAAATTCCAATTAAAGAAGAATCGTTATCATTAATTTCTGTGCAGATAAAATATGCTCCCGGTTAATCAAGTTATTGATGTTTTTCTTTAACTATGTTAACACATTCTATGGAAACTTATTATCCTTTTTAACTATTAATTATTATTATAAATTTATTTTTGATACTTTTTCAACTATTAGTATGATTAAATTAAAATAAATTTTTATCCGATATCGTCAGACCGGGGCTGACTGTAGCGGTGGTCTGACAGACGCTGTGCTGACATCAGGCATACTGACATCAGACTACCTAGCAGCCATGGGACCTATACCACTGTCAGGCATGTGGTATGATGTGTGGCGTGATGTGTGGCGTGATGTGTGGCGTGATGTGTGGCGTATGTTCATTTTCGGCATGTTGCAGTTCCTTTCTAGACGTGGTGCTTGCAGGACGTGAGTCGCTCCGCGTGAAATTTATTGCCGCGGGCCTGAATGTACGTCGTTTTTTGAGTTTTAAGCTGGTTCTGCTATTCTAAAAGTCTGAGCTCACGTGCATAAATCCAGTGAAGTGCTCGTGGTAGATCAGGAAACTCAATAAGTGTTGAACTCAAAGTGTTGAAGCCAGTTGGAAGTGTTCAGGCCAGTCTAATACATCAAAATTTTGTAATTTTTGCCGACCGGCAAACCGAGATGGTAATCCGAGACAAAATTTTGGTTTCGGATTTGCTAGATTAAACCTAACTCAAAAATCCCACATTCAAGTTGAAAATCAAAATAGTTGTTTTTCAATAAAGAAGTGAATCAGCGAAACCAAAGTATGATAGGCACAAATAATTAATTATTAAATAAACGAATAGCGGGCCTGAATGTACGTCGTTTTTTGAGTTTTGATCTGGTTGTGCTATTCTCAATTCTGAGCTCACGTGTTATAAATCCAGTAAAAGTGATCGTGATAGATCAGGGAACTCATTTAGCCACTAGAAGTGTTGAAGCCAATTGGAAGTGTTCAGGCCAGTCTAATACATCAAAATTTTGGAATTTTTGAAAAAAAATCGTTTGCGGATTTGCTGGAATAAATTTAACTCAAAAATCACACATTCAAGTTGTAATCAAAATAGTTGTTTTTTTAGTATAAAAGTGATTCAGCGATAGCAAAGTTTGATAGGTACTAGTAATTAGTTATTTAAAGAAAATACAGTGAATGTGTCTCTGACTCAAGGAGTCAAGGGAGCGGGAACTGTGCAGCCGAGTCTAGGCCTGAGCTAAATTTTATTACTTGTATCCGGTCGTCTGGTCGTGCCTGCTGCCGTGGCTAAAATTTCTTACCCAAGGATCCCCAACAGGAAGTGATAGTGTAGCTAGGACAAGACTAGTTGATAAATAGTGAAGGCTTTTGAACTGACTATCCATTGAAATAGTAAAACTTGAAAACCGAATTAGCGCAACTGTATAAACGTATTAGAAAAAACCACATTGTGGCAAAATGTGTTGTGATTGAGCCCACTAATGGAAGTTCAAGTGCAATCTGTCGCAAGTCTTGTGAAGCACTATTAGCTGTTCAATGCAAAATATGTCGTTTATTAATCCACCAGCAGTGTACAGAGCTTCCGCTTTACTACGTAGTGAGACTGGATCAGCCCAGAGTTTCATATGAATGCAAACAAGGCGTTCGGAAGGAATGCGGAGATAAATACACTGTGATTAAAATAAAGCTTTAGTCAGCCATGAATGTTTGACATACAGTCATACCCAGTACGGCCACCGGCCACTTCCATCCCACCCAACCTTCCCTCTCCCCTCCCATACCCCCTCCCCTCTCCTTTCCTCCAGCCCTAACCTTGCCATAAGCCGAAACACCACCTCCCACCTTCTGAGCCCCACCTCTACCCTCGGTCCTACCATCGCCTCCAGACCTAACTTTACCCCCACCCCGAACCCGACCCTCAGTCATACCCCTACTCCCACAATTACTTCTGACGCCACTCTTCTCCCTGCTCGAACCCCTGATGCTCACGTTACTCTCAACCCTACCGCCAATACCGCTGGATTGAACTGTCTGGATTTGTATATCGTTCTGCCATCATCCTTTCCAACCCTACCCCCTCCTAAGAAGTCTATGTACCCTCTGGCAGGCAGCGAGTTAGGAAAGGTGTTTGCTGGAAAACTTTCAAAAGAAATGTGAATACGGGAAAAATGGTGAAGGATGCACATTCTCATCAGTGCCCGCGTGCTCCCCAGTCTTGAATACTGCTGCCAGCTTTGGGCGCCGCTCAAGGCTGGTGCGGTGTGGAAACTGGAGGCAGTGCAGCGGCCCTTCACGTACAGGATCAGCGGCATGAGGGGAGCATGAGGGACCTGAACTACTGGGAAAGGCTGAAACGCCTGGGACTGTACTCACTGGAGAAGAGGGCTTGCTCCCGTATTGGTTCTCTGACTGGCTCCAAACTTTGAGAGTGAGACCCCCAGATTAGTGACATATTACGACAAAAGTAGGGGAAGACTGTGTAGGATTCTCCCATTTAATAACCGATTCGCGGCCAGAGTATAGACTCTTCGTGAGGAATCACTATCCGTGGCAGGACCGAGGCTGTTTAACGCCTTACCAAAGGTGCTGAGAGGAGAGGAGTTTACCCTTGCGACTTTCAAGGGCCTACTGGATAAGTTTCTGAAGAAGATCCCGGATTTTTCGGTTATGGGAAATTACCCTCAGCAAGTGACAAGCAACAGCATCTTGCATCAGCTGGCTCAAAGAAGGGCAAATAGACGGAACACGTCCAACGTTACATCCGACGACGACTCGGAGACGGAGGACGATGAAGGTGGAGCAATCAGCTTGACCATGGATTGAGAATTTCTACACTCACCATAAGGTCATGCGGTGTGACTTGATGTGTGGCGTGATGTGAGACGTGATGTGTGGCGTGGAAACTCTGATGGATGATGTGGCGTGATGTGTGGCGCGATGTGTGGCATTGCGTGTGGCGTGATTGGTGGCGCGATGTTTGGCGTGATGCGTGTAGATGTTTTTAAATGTTATTACAATAAATTTACTTGCGTTATTTTAGCGTTATTCTCAACTAACAAATGTTTCGTATGTTGTAATTTCCCAATTAAGATTCGGGTACTGCCTAGGTTTTAAACCCAGGAGTTGCTATACTCGGCATAAAGTTTTTCTGGGTATGTTTGGCCACTTGATCGAAATCAGCTTCTGGTCGGAATCTCCTTTCCGACTTCATATTCGCTTGAGAGTATGACAAGTGTGTCCTGAGAGTATGACAAGTGTATCCTGAGAGTATGACAAGTGTGTCCTGAGAGTATAACAAGTGTGTCCTGAGAGTATGACAAGTGTGTCCTGAGAGTATGACAAGTGTGTCCTGAGAGTATGACAAGTGACTATAATACTACCTTTTCGATAAGCATTGAGCAATGAACACTCTTCACTAGGTACTGGTCGAGTCACGGTTCGATCGAAACTGGCGCCTTAGCTGCAACGGTTAATGCTCTGTCCGGATGGGGGGTGCGGGAGGTAGACCCCCATGCACATACCCGCATACCCCCGTATGGCGGGAACTTCGATTGTTCGTGGGTTTCCTTGTTCAGACTCTGACCAGCCCCATCATGCGGTAGCGTCATCAGCGTTTGACCAGGGGCATCATGACGAAGCTTGACCAGCGGCTCTTTTTAATCATATTACGCAGATTTGGTCTACCGGGCAATTGACTTCCAAAAGAGGCTGGTAAATAGAAGCAAAACACCCTACGTGGCCGACTTGCTCCTGATACACCCCTTAGCCGAATATAGTTCCTCTAAAACGACCTTAATCGGTACGAAAATTTTGACAGGGTCAGTGGCTGTCCTTCAAATTCTTAGTCGATGCGGACATTTGTGGCAGATTTACGAAAACTAGAGCAACAATACACTGCTGAAAAAACCGAGTGATATGGGTACCAGCCGCACCAAGACGCAGAAGAGTTAGATGACAAATGAAAGAGTACTAGCCGAGCCGAGATGCCAAGAGCCGTTTACTCTAAAGTGCGGAAGGCATTAACCCCCTCGACACGAGAGGCACAAACTATACGCATGCGAGCCGCACCAGAGCACTGCCAGCGGCTGGGACTAACCAAGAACCGCGTCGTATTAGTCCGCCTACGCCGTACTTAGTCTTAGAGAATCTTTTACTTACGCCTCGTTAAACCAAACGCCCCCTGTCAGTCGGTTAGACTAGCGAGATATCTCCACAACCACTACATAGTCTTACTAGCCTAGATTTTGCTCCCTGAATTGTTGTCAAAGTGCTTGGACGCTAATCCAGTCACACTGAGCACACGAAATTTGTCCGCGAGGGGCAACTCAACTAAAATAACCTTACAACAATATCTCGTTTACGATATACATGGAACAGACTATTAACATTGTCTATGTGCAAAAAGATAATATAATAAATTATAATGTAGTTGAACCATATTTTTTCCTTTGGTCACATATTGGTAGGTGAAAGTTAGTATATGATTGAATAACTCTCAAAGAGCGCATAAGTCAAGAGCTATGTAGCACTTTTCCTGGATGAATGAAATATTGACTTAAAGCATAATCAAAGTGCAATGAGAAGTATTATTGATAAAAGAATCACTGCAATAAAAAGTTAAACCTTGTGGCAACCTGATTACAGGTTATAATTGACATTTTATAGACGATACATGGAAAATGAAGCCGGACAAATGCAGATTCAGGCCTGCCATTAAATTTTGAGTGCAGGTCAGTCCCTGTCCCGACCTGCACGACAGAACTGCGCAGGTCAGTATTCGTCCCGAAGTTAAGACGGTTTAGTCTAAAATTTTTATATCAGTAAATTCATCTTTATATTAATCGAAAACGTTGTTTGTAAGCGATAAGTAAGCTGTTTCCACTTATAATTGCTAGATTTGCTAGATAATTGATGGATTTTTAAGTTCCGATGTCGATTTTTCGGTACTTGTGTTTCAATCTCTTGCGTGTAAATTCGGTTTTCTATATTGCTTCAAACCTTTAGGGTCCAATTTTATCGCGAATGAAAAATGCCACATTGCAAGGGCGCAACATTGACAAAATGTATTAATTAAACAAAATTTGAAAGGCGATATATATGTGCACCTAGTCATATTGCAACCTAAAATTAGAGGCGAAAAATTTGTCCCATTACACAAATGAGCGCAACCTAAAATTAAAGACGACAAATTTGTCCCATTGCACAAATGAGCTTCATACATCAACAATAAACGTCAATTTGAAAGTCACCATATACGTAAAGCTGATCGCTACCGGGTAAAATCTGAATTTGTCAACTACAGGCCACCTCGCACTACCTCAACGAGCTCAGACGTGCAGTGGGCAACCAGCTGTTCAGCCATCTTCTGTCTCTGCACTGGAGATCTCCTGTGGCCATTGTAACAGATGTCTTAATTTCTTTTCCCACCTGGAGCAACCCAATCGGACTGTCGAGCTCATACTCATCCAGCCACAAACACGAGCCTGAGGAATCCCTCCTCGTTCTGTATTCCAATACTCGTGAGTCTCGAACCCGATACTCATGAGTCCTATAGAGCCAACATTGATGAATTTCGAATTATTAGCAATGAGTCCTTCTCTCAAAAAAATAAAAGGCTCATTATCGAAATAGAAAACACATTTTGCATCGCTGTTTACTTTCTACTCGAACTGTGGGTAAGAAAGAGTGTCATTTTGTTTACGAAGATGTATTCATTACCAAAATATTTAGTACTTGACCTGTGAGTGTCGTTACAATACCAGTACTTGTAGCCTGGCTCAAAACAATGTCAATGTCGTGTGGACATTAATAATATAATTGAAAGATGTCCGAAAGGGCCAGTCTTGTCTCAATGATTTGACGGGAGCATTAATGTTATTCAATTGAGTAAGATGATGAGAAGACTATATATCACGTCTTTCTTCGAATCAAAGTTTAATTTTCAATAAAGTATATAATATTTTTATAATATGAGTAAACTTCTAGAGATTCATTGAAATATTTCTTTGAGCAGTGAGAGGAGCAACGGGGATGTTCCGGTCCAGCTCCATGGCTGGGACCAACCATGCCCGCCAATATTCCTACTACAACTCCTCTGTGTCACTGAGGGTGAGTTCCTGGTAGAATTAGTTTTCAGCAAAATGGGTGGGTTATGTTTTCCAAACAAAAAACACACTTTCTTACCCACCGCATGAGCAAAGAGTGGACGCAGTATTGATCCGCCCTTTCACTAAATCTCACTAATTTTATGAGTGAGTATAATACCAAACTACGGAAATCCTGGGATACAAATCTGAATTTGTTACTGTACCTGACGTTCGGTTTTGTAATATGCACAACTTCTGCTAATCCAGGAAGATGCATAGCTGGTTGGCTGGAAATATTACCCCTTTTTGTATTCCACCCTCCAACAGGACCTGTCAATTGGGTGTATTACCTCTTCTTGAATTCCACCCTTCCCATTGACTGGTATATTACCCCATCCTGAATTTCACCCTTCGACATGACCCGTTGACTGGGTATATTACCTCATCCTGAATTTCACCCTTCGACATGACCCGTTGACAGGGTATATTACCCCTTCTTGTATTCCAACCTCCGACAGGACCCATTGACTAAATATATTATCCTATCCGGAATTTCAACTTTCGACATGCAGGACCTGTCGACTTGGTATATTATTCCTTGCTGAATTCAACCCCTTCGACATGACTCGTTGACTGGGTATATTACCCCTCTTTGAATTCCACCCTTCGACAGGACCCATTGACTGGGTATTCCTTCCTGAATTCGGCCCCGTTTAACAGGACGCGTTGGCTGGTCTGCACGCGGCGGCCCACGCTGCCCTGCCAGACACGGAGGTCTTCCTGCTGACGGAGGGCACCCACCTCAGAGGCGCCGTCGGGGTCGCCACGCCACAACATACACTGGAGCTTCTGCTGAGCAAGAGGATCAAGGTTTAAGACCAAGAGAATGGAAATTTTTCAGCTTGAAAATGAAAATCATATAGATTTTCTTAATATAAATTTTATCATACATAGACAAGAAATTCGTTTTCCGACATATTTTTCTCTTCCTTTCATAAATTACCAAATTATAGCTTATATGACCAATTATGTCAGAGTTACTAGTGTTCTGGTAGCCGAGGAAGCAAAATTACTATTAAAAAACTAGAGCTGCCACCAATTTCTATCCTTTCCCTTCATTCAAATGCTGTATTTTTCTGCTTATGACTTCCATAACCTAGTTCTGTTATATGAACTCCAGCCAAAACGCACCATCTTGGCAACGCTGAAAGCCCCTACAGTCGAGACGGCTTGCTTCCCGTTCCCGTCACCAATTTCATTAATGGTGTTCATTATGTTTCAATTAGGTTAAAATAATGTTTTATTGTTTATGAATGGGAGCTACCAAAGGTAGGTGTATGCAACAACATCCAAGCCCCTTGAAAAGGGCTCGAAAAGTCATGTGGTTCAATATTTACACTCCGTACACGTTGGACGCACACTTGTCTAAACTCTGCTAAAATGAGGCTAGCGGACTACCTGATTAAATTATTTACGAAATTTCAAGAAGCTTCGATGATTCAGACAACCTAGCCTCTGGTATTTATAAACTAACTAGCATTTAAAAACACAATTAACGGTGAATAGGTGCCTGGTGAATAGGTTTGGTACCAAACATATCGACCATTCATGTCATATCCCAATGAAAATTTACAGACGAGTCAGCTTCTGATTTCGAGTACCAGAAGCTGGGGCGACTCTAAATTATGTTAGGGATGGCGTGGGTACACGTCAGACTAAGATTTATCTCACCCATTAGCAGCAAATACGTGTTCGTGAGCAAAGTTCAACGATGAGAGATTATATCACTCACCCTTTTGCAGGTAACACCACTGGTGGTTGGTCGAACAGAAAAATTAGTCGTTTCCAACAGCTGGAACTCATCTAGTGAACCCAACTCAACACTAGATATGTTGGGTTTGGGCGACACAAGTGATACACCCCAGAGACCTGACGGTGGAAGAGGGGAGGTCCAGCCGCTCTCGGCAAGTCGTGTCTACCAGATTCTGGCAGAAGTGGCCTTGATGACAGGGGGGCACATCATAGATGTCCCGTCTACTGCTGATATTACGAAAGCTCTCTCCCCACTCTCGGAGGGTTTTTTTCATGGTGAAGTGAGTCACTTTCTGTAACCACTAATTTCTCTTCATCTAGAAACCATTTATTATGTTGACAAATGTTTATTAAAAACAGGTTAGCATCTCTATAGCAGCCTTGGATGAGGTGGCATTTTTTTAATTCTGATAAAACGTGAAATGAAATGATAAGTTTAAAGTAATAATGTACCCGTTCAAAACCACACTTACAAAAGTCAACACAAAGGTGTATTCGTTACAGAATTTACTTCTGATTCCTCGTCTTCCTAAACACTGTTAGTATAAATAAATTCAAGGAATGTTAGGTAGGTAAACCCGTTCAAAACCACATTTAAACGAAACATAAAACTCCTATTTGACTCTCGTTTCAAAATGTTAAAAAACTATTTTGCGCCTTTGCCCATTAATTTTACGTACACCAATTCAAAATCAAATTTTAGTTTTTGATCCAGGATTTTCCTCTCAGACTCAGACATGCAGGGTTTGTTCCAGACCCTTCGGCGGCTACGGCCGAGTCTGACATTTCAGTTTATCGAAATGAGTTCTGACTTTTTAAAAAATGTTGAGTTCGTAACTCTGTCAACCAAACACAGACGGCCTCTTAAGCTAAATCCATCACTCACAGACAAAAAATCGGCCGCTATGTGTACTTAGGCCGCTACGTGTACTAAGTCCGTTCCGTGTACTTAGGTTGCTAAATGTCTTTTGATTGTGAGGCCCTTGCCCGATGTCCAGGTTCAGTTGTACCGTGATATAGCCGTGTCCACCGCTTCAATCGTCAACATGACAGTTGACAACCACATCAGAGCTTTACGCGTCACGCTCTACGGCGCTTTTGCCGTGGCCACAGTGACGTTGGATGGAGGTGGGTATTAGCGCTCTTAAAAAATGAATGTCCCAATAGTGACACATTATCTTACTCACAGCATAAGCAGACAGCGGTCGTAAAAATTACACACCTTATTGCCTGGCCAAACTGTGTCACGATGACCCAAACTAGATAAAAGAAGAAGCTATTTGGACAAAATCTACCTCGTTTCTTTAAGCTTTTTTCATCATGGCAAAATTATTCACAAAATGTGACGACCGTAAATTTTGAAATTTATTTAGTTCTTACTGGATTGATTCCTATTATATGGGCCAGATTTCCATTCCATTGTTCCCGGAGGGGCAGCATAAATTATTTAATACATTTATTTAATCAAACTTGATGATGTAATAGAGGTATCGTTTCAGAGGAGGCTATAAAGGTTGGCTTCTGTCCCATCTCAGTCGCAATCATGCGTTGGACCAGAGCAATATTGTCACGCGCCTGCTTCCCAAAAAAGGATACGTTCTAGTGAGCGCAAAATGGCTTGCACTGATGGTTGCCGCCACGTACGATAACTTTAAAATGTTCTCTGTTGCGTACAAACGTCCTCAGGTTGCTACACTCAATAGTTTACGTATAATTTAAGTTGAAAGTTACTTTAAAATGTTCTCTGTTGCGTACAAACGTCCTCAGGTTGCTACACTCAATAGTTTACGTATAATTTAAGTTGAAAGTTATGTTCCCGAAGAGTGACATACGGCGGTAGAGGGTTAAGTTCGGTGATAGCAAACCAGCGCGCTTTTCGGAACTTCTTGAATTTAACCCCATTGAACAATGTTCCGAAACAGAAATCGATTGTTGTGTGGTGACTACATTCAGACGTAAGTGAGTTAAACGTAGAACTGGGGCCGGATTATCAAAACTTCGTAACTTTTTGTACTTACGACAAAAAAGTTCTGTAGTACGTAAATACACCCTAATTTTGGCATTATCAAAACTTTCGTACGCAAGTCTTAGCTAAAAGCCTAAATTTTTTTCCCGCGCAAATTTTTCCCGCGCAAATGTTTTTATAATACCACCGCTAGTATTACGTTGTCATAGCAACGCCACTCGTAAGTCGATTTTGCGTACTTACGAAGTTTTGATAATACGGCCCCTGGAGTACTACCGCACTTTATAGCGTCTGCGAGGATATTAAAATTGTGAGAGCCTTAAAGTTGCGATCATAACGCCGTTTAATGTCATGTCCGACGTTGGATATACCAATCGTTCTCGAAAGATAATCTTTAATGAAGAAATACTTTTACGTCCATACAAGATGATGATTGCACGGAAACTGTCTAAAACCGACCAAAATAATCGAAGGAGAAAATGTGATGCTCGTTTGGATGCCCTTTCTGGTGACGCGTTTGCGTTTCTTCTTAAGAAGCCAATTTTCCATCTGTTTGGGTCAGTGAATGATAAAAAAAGCTACTATGAGGAAAACAATTCACAGTAATATGCATTTAAAAATTACTTTTTAAAGACAACACTTCTGAGCAATATAGAGACTCGGATGTTACACATGTACAATGAATTTCTAATTTTATTTTCAAATATTGAAAAAAAAAGTATCAAAATTTTTTTAAGGTATCAAAATTTTGTAAATTTTCAAAATTATTTATTCTGTCAATTAATTCATGCATTGTCTCTGACTTTATGCAATTGTGCAAATTTTCAGATCAATTGGACAGGTCAAATTGTGTCATATATGGATTATGAGAGCAGACGAAATTATTTTTTATTTTTGTAATAATGAAAAAAATTTTAATTTATAAAATTATTTATTCTGTCAATTGATTCATGCATTGTCTCCAAATTTACGCAAGTGTGCAAAATTTCAGACCGATTGGACTGGTAGAAGTGTGTTAAATATCGATTATAAGATTTGTAGCACACAGACAAACAAACAAGAAGTGAAGTTAAAGAGAAGTGTTGTAAAAATAACATTGAAGTCCTTTGCAATCACCTAAATTGGCATGGAGATGAGCAATTTTCTAGTTTACAATAATTGGCCCACGTTCTTTGAGATTAGTGCAGAGGTAACGACAGTTAATTCGGTTATGTTAGACGAAATGTTAAGGGAATATTTTTTATTATATTTTATATTATTATATATATATTTTTATATTATTATTAGTTATATTTTTTATTATAGATCATTGATGAACGTGTTCATTTCAACGGATATTTATCTATATTAGTATCATATACATACTGTACACTAAAGTATATTTCAATGTATTTATTCTGAATTTATCGTTTAAAAGGCAGATGGACCAGCTATAGTAAAAATTAGACCTAGTAACAATGACGTACACTAAAACAACTAAATGGGTTATACTGTTCAAATAGTGAAACACTTTCTGTATGTAGCACAGATACGGCTATTTGTCAGGATTGAATTTTTTTTTGGTTAAGTTAAAAACTATGTTAAAGAGAAAGTGAAAAAGTTAAATTACAAGTTAAAAAAATTAGCGTTTACACACAGCACAGAGTAATAAAACTTTTATTATTTAATTTTAATAGAATCCATTATTATTATATTAATAATGGATTAAAATCATTCATTAATGGATATTGGAGCTCACAATTGGAAGAAGAAATTAAAACGGACCTTAAAACGTCGTAGAATCTTTTGGTGATATAGATCAAATCTAGAAAATCTACATATAACTTACTATACATATTCGAATCAATACACAATAAATAAATAGCGAATAACAAAATTTTTCCATATTAATGGAGGGTCAGCAAACAATCAGCTGACAGACGAAATTATTGTTGCTGATATCGCTACTGCGAGGGAGTTGAAGTTGAAGTGCTTTAGTTGAAACTGATCGCTTTAGTTGAAATTGATCGCTTTAGTTGAAATTGAAAAGCTAGGTTACAAGTTGAAGTTGAAGCGCTTTAGTTGAAGTAAGAGCGCTTTAGTTGAAATTAAAGCACTTTAAGTTGAAGTTGAGCGCTTAAGTTGAAGTGTTATAACGCTTCAAGTTGAATTTGCTTTTAACAGCAGGCGTCACCATGTTTATGGACATGTCTGCTTATGGCGACTATAGTAACCTGGGGTCATACTTTCAAAACTCGCTAAGTGAACGTAAGTACTTACGCTCTATTTTCTTGTCTATGATTGGTGGATTTTGCTTGAAAGGCCGTCAATGATTGGCTGATGAACTTACGATCTCATGTACTTAAGGCCGCTACGTGTACTTAGGCCGCTACGTGTACTTAGGCCGCTGCGTGTACTTAAGGCCGCTACGTGTACTTAGGCCGCTACGTGTACTTAGGCCGCTGCGTGTACTTAGGCCGCTGCGTGTACTTAAGGCCGCTGCGTGTAGTTAGGCTGCTACGTGTACATAAGTTGCTAAGTGTACTAAAATTTTTATTGTCGAAGCCGGAACCGGACTTGCGGAATTCAGACAACATTTAAACGATTCAATAAAAGATACCAGTACAATTGAATTTTTAAAAATGTTCATATAAACCTTTCATGATCAATATTGATATAATAATAATAATGGCGGTTTCTGCATTTATTATACCGTTCAGAACTGTCTCCTATTTTTTTCATCGCGGAACATTCACAGCTTGCTACGGTCCCGAACACGCAACTCACTGCTCCAATTTTGCAATGTTTTACTACCCGGCCTCATCGCACATTCTAACCAGAAACTGTCACATTTAGCTGGGATCGAACCCGCACCTCTCTGCTTCAATCCTGGTACTCTGAACTGTAACCACTGGGCCACCCAGTGGTTACAGAGAATAATGATGGAAAATTCAAAGGATAATAATGGAAGCATATTTTAAATGTTTATTATGCTACAATAAAATGCAAACTTAAAAATCGAACTCTTCATCCTTACTCGTCAAATAAATTCGAGAAACATACTGTCCTCATTAACGCCTTCAATATACGCTTTGGGAGGTTCGTATACATAATTATGCTTCTTTTAAGGGATTCAAAGAATCTTGAGAGATTCGTTAAGACATCTTCTGATTAAAATTTTCCCAAAAATTATTTGATTTTTGTGTCTCATTTTCCATGTGTAGTCCTGCCAGCCTCTAAAACAACTGCTATGGTTGCGAGCAAGATGAAAGTCAGGAAAGAATGGGAAATAACAGATCATACTATGCACCCATCCGCAAAAAGGTGAACATCTGATCGTACTATGTACCCATCCGAAAGAAGTCTGTAGGGTGATGGTACATCGGTATATCCGTTTCAGCTGTACCCATCTGAAATGTGTATCACATCACCATCCATGACGTCAACATCTATCTTCTTCCTCCCTGCCCTTCATCGCTGAATTGTCGAAACTGACATTCAGCGTCCCTCACGTCGGTTGTTACGATGACATGAACCACGATACTGCTGATTTGTCCCTCGGAAGACGTCGCTGTGACCACAAGAGAGTTGCTCATCGACTTGATGTTGGACACGAAATGACTTTCAGGATTGTTATTATAGGGGTAATGATTAGAACTTTGTGTCCTCGAGGCGTTCACAAACTGATAGAAGGCGTTGATCCTTGTAGGTATATCGACGTACAACACCAAATTAGCCGACTTCTTGCTCTTCACTCGAACGCTGTGGGAAGAGAGAGGTGTTGATGTACCTTACCACCTTATGGCCCATTACCAACTTATGGTGCCTTACCATCTTATGGTACCTTACAACCCTTATGTTACCTTACCGCCTTATGATGCAGTACTACCTCATGGTGCCTTACAACACTCATGGTACCTTACCCCCTTATGGTACCTTACGATCTTATTTTACCTTAACACCTCATGGAACCTTACCACCTTATAGTACCTTACAACCTTATGGTACATTACTACCTTGTGGTAGCTTACCACCTTATGATACCTTACAACCCTTATGGCACTTTACCACCATATGGTACCTTGCCACTTTATATCTCAAAAGCATACTATCTTATGGTATCTTAACACCTTATGGTACCTTATAGGGGCGCAACCGTAGGCAACAAATTTTATTCTAAAATAAGCCGTGGAGCCAACGCCCAGCCTCACTATGCGTTAACTTTACTCAGACTTTTAGAACTAGAAGCCACAGACTACATACGCTTGAACTCCGTAATCCAGACAAGCAACACACCGCCATAGAGAATGGCGCCGTAGGTCTTCAGCCACTGCTTAAGCATGCTCGCTCATAAGCAGGCAGTTCCTACTTCGGCCTAACCTCCTCTGGCCTAACCTATTCACGCTGTCCTGGCTCACAACCTTCTTGCAGCCAATGACTGGCTCTACCAGTGCACTTGGGCCGCCTTTCTAACTTCTTGCAGCTAATGAGGTTAGGCTAGGTTCGCTCAGGTTTGTTTTGGTTGGAGAAATGTTGGTTGCAACCTGTGTATGATCGGCCTGAAGAGGATAGGCCGGAAGAGGTTTAGCCAGGTGCAGTATTGCTATGCATTCTTTTATAACATGCTTAAGTTGTGTCTGTGGACATCCGGCATTGTGTCTTTGAACACTTGCCTTCATAGGCTGTTATGCCCTCTAGCGTTTTTACATACGGTAAGAACTATGAACTAAGTGTGAAGTTTGGCAAAGCTGGCCGCTGGGATGCGCCGCCCTTATAGCACAATCTAATGGTACCTTACCAATTAACTTGCATTACCACACTTTCCTCCTCGTCGGAATCCAAGCTCTGGTTTTGGTGCTACGATGTCGACAGGAAATAGCTTAATAATCAAGTGCACAACCTGCTTGGCTTTAAGGTTATATTCGAAGAAAAAGTTATTTGTGCTCCCAGATCACACACGGAATCACTAAAAAGTAAATATGGTTCTTTGTGAATGCATTTTGCTCGATACACATGTAAGTTTCATTTTGAGCAGTATATTATAAGAAATTAGGCATCTTTCAAAATGCATACAAAAGAGAACGTATAAAATTGGCTGTATCGTGATTCCATTTAGACTCTCACCTTCTCCGAGGTAATCTAATGGAGTACCCCAGAGCGTCAGCAGCGCTCAGGGCAAAGGTGTCGTCCGAGTCAGCGGTGTTGAAGAGGCTGAAGTGAACCGGGAGTTTGGTCCCTGGTTTGCCCCACACCTCGCGTCCGCTGTTCAGGCTCAAGCGAGACTCGCACGGCTTCACTAGCTGCTGACTTATGCGGACAAGCTCTCGGCCTGTTCCGGCAGTATGGGATTATTCAATAGTTCTTATATTCAATATCGATCCAGCTGGGGAACCTGCTCATTTCCAATGTATCAGTCAACTTAGAAAGGGATTGTCCTGCCTCATGTCATCCTATCCTTTAGGATACATTAATATGTTCAGTTAAAGCCCCTACCGAATTCATCCTCCTTTTCGCGATGGTACGTGATTAGTCAGCAGAAATTTTTTGTGAAGAGTTTTGATTATTCAAGGTGATAAGTAGAACTAATTATGCAGAATTCATATTCATTTACAATTTTAATTAGCGAGCATATAATACATTTTTGCATTATGTGTTGGCTATAATTGTTCATACTCGTATGAAATATTCCGAAAAGTTATTTCACATGAAACTTACCCAGTTATTTCAGGAAGAAGACCACGAATATCGTTACCTGTGTTTTTATTCACTTAAAAGGTTTTATAACAACATGGATATCAAAAGAATTCATCTATGAAAAAGCTTTATAATACTAGCACATACGACCAGGTTATTACAAACATGTACTGTTCTACTAACGCAATCAACGTCAAATTCCCGCCACTGTTTTTCTTATCGATTCTTCAATTAATTATAATTTATCTATCACCGTCAGAGTCCTGTAGTAAGTTCATCAGCCAATCATTGACGGCCTTTCAAGCAAAATCCACCAATCATAGACAAGAAAATAGTGCGTAAGTACTTACGTTCACTTAGCGAGTTTTACCTGTTCTACTAACGCAATCGACGTCAAATTCCCGCCACTGTTTTTCTTATCGATTCTTCAATTAATTATAATTTATCTCTCACCGTCAGAGTCCTGTGCACTGTAGACGACGCTGAACGGCCCCTGTGGCATGGCGCTGGAGTCGTTGAGTATGACGAATGTGTTGGGACGCGGCGACGCGGTTGGTAGCGGAAAGGCGTGGGCGGAGTCTGGGCTGGCGTGGGGTGTCAACTCTACGGAGGTGACGCTCCGTAAACTGGCCGTGTCGGTATCAGACACGACCACGTCAATGAACTCGTGCATACCTGGCACAAGTGAAAATGTGTCTGTTATGCAATAATGTAGAATTATATCCTCGTATCATACAATCTGATGCTTCTTCCACTCTACCAACCTCTCATTCAACTTCATTAGGTCACTAACCGAACTAGTACCTTTGTCATTGGGCTGTATGACCCACGCTTTCTCTTGTAGGACTAACCTGGAGTGATGGGATGTGACAAACGTTGCAATGACGGATAGGGGCTATGTACGTCTGCGTGGTAGAACGTTGGGAAAACGTCCAACGTTGAAGATGCAGTTACAATGACTGACCCTACGTTTCTTGGGCGATACGTCAAAGTAATATGTTTCAATTTTCCCGTCCAAGTTAACTTTAAGATGTTAAACGCTCCACCCACATTATACTGCAGACAGAAATGAGAAAGTGAGGTACGAAAATTTTTGAGATCCATATGTTCAAAATTGTTCATACGTTAGAGAATAGGAAAGATTGAAATGAAATCAAAACCAGAGTACAGAGCAAGATAGAAATGCTTTCGGACACCGAAAGTTGAACCTAAAAGGGACGTCAGCGCCTGATTTACGTACTCCCCGAGTTCTGGACGGCATCTCTGGCAGTGGCGGGCCCGAATCCGAATTTTGTAGTGGAGGTAGACGTAAAAGCTTTCAAATTAGCTTGCTGTTATGTAGTGAGACGAACGTAGAGAGTACTACCGAATGTAAATAGAATTGTTTATGGCCTGACGTATACGTGTGTGATTGGCTATGAGTATAGGGTAAATGATAATTGAAAAAACTCCATCATCACCCGAACCCTCTTTCTTCATCTCTCAATACTTCACTTCATCTCTCAATAGATTTCCGGAGAATTCATACATCATGCTGAATTATTTTAATTTAAAAAAGTATGTGAAATATAGAGATTTTGGAAAGCGGAAATCGTGAGTACAACAGGTTAAGAGACTCTATGTTTAAGGGGAGCGTCTAGGGACAACTTTATCTCGGTTATTTACAGACGGATCGATTCGAAATTTGGTACACGCATGTAAACGGAATTCTAAGACTTTTCTTCGTGTGAATTTTTCGAAAAAAATGAAAGAAAACGTGAAATTCTTAGAAAACGGCCAAAAAGAGGGTACTTTAGAAATCCTATCTCCTCCTAGGATTTCCAAACTACAACATTGATACACATATCATTCGATGCGTAAAGACCATATCTAAAAACGTCAATGAGCGGTTTTTTGTATTTCTCATTTTTGTGGGTGTGGGAGCATTTTTCCGATATTTTTCGAAGTTTTTTTATTTTACCCCCGCCTTCCCCCACTTTTTGCAAAATAAAATCCGAACTATAACAAAATTGGAAAAACGACCAAGTGACGTTTGCAGATCTTTCCTTTCCAAATCGAATGGTATATGTCTCATTGATGTAGCTTCAAAACTGTTGGAGGAAATAAGATTGCCGTGAGAGAGGTTTTCAGCTTTGGCAACTTTTCAGTAGAGGCAAAAAACCGCCACGCGGCACGTAAAGGTACGTAACGTAGCCTAGATCCCAAAAGTAAGCATCAACTCACTTCAAAGTCAGTCATCGGTGCATGGAGCCGCTAAATGAACACCATCTCGCGTGCTGTCTGTGAGGTTACTGAGCTCTAGCCGAATGATGCACATTTTATAGTTAATTTCCCCCTTTGGAATTACTGAAGGCCCCCCACCCCCTTCTCCCCTTACGGGATCTGTTGTGAACGCATAAATCAATGTACAGAGATGGTTCTAATACCATTCGATGCGGCAGAATGTAAGCTTTAAGACGAGTATAAGAACTGGAGAATGTCATAATTGGCCGCTTGACATCAGACGATCCCTTTTATGGTGCCCGCCCGAGTAATTTCCGCCTTAACTTTACTGAAGGGGCCCGGACACCTCCCCCATTACGGGATCTGTTGCGAATGCATAAATCAACGTACAGAGATGGTTCTAGTACCGTTCGATGCGTCAGAAAGTAAGCTTTAAGATGAGCCTAAAAACCGGAAAAGGCAACATTTCAACCTTTGGTCCTAGACGCTCCCCTTAAAGTTTATGAGGTTAAGAGACTCTATGCTCATGCTGTGCCGATAATGGTTGCTATAACTAATACTACACTATATTAAAATGATTTATTATATTGTTTGCTAAATTTTGGCCGATGGGTCGGCAGTTGCAAGTAGGAGAAGAAATGTTGGACACGTGGCCGATGCTGGTATAAGTAGAAGAAAGTGGAAAATGAGAGACATTTTCCGTATTTTAGAGAAGGATATTGTCTCTCGCAATTGCACATAAAATATGGGTCCTGTGGACCCTCAATCATCTCGCAAAAAAGATGTAGATATATTATATTAACATATTAATATCTAATATTAATCTTTAGTGTTACCATGGTCCCGGCAGGAGTGACATAACTTTTGTAACTGTTCGAATATGTCCTCTGTAAATTGTTCGATGCATCAAGCAAGTTCGAAGACGGTCCTGGAAATGTGAGAAAACACTAGAATTTTTTATTTCATCCAGAATAAAAACGATCGGTGGAATATAAAACAAAGCAATGACGTCAATGATGTATTTTTACTGGAAAAGATCTGGGGTATGTTGATTCGAGAAGGCAAAAAAATGTTATCAATATGCTTTACGTTAGACAATAATTTTCTGTTTCGGGATATTGTTCAATGGGATTAAATTCATGAGGTTCCGAAAAGCGCGCTGGTCTGCTATCACTGAATTTAGCTCTCTACCGCCGTATGTCACTCTCCGGGAACATAACTATCAAATTCAATTATACGTTAATTAAAGTTGTCGTAGGGGGCGGCAACCATCAGTGCAAGTCATTTTGCGCTCACTAGAACGTATCTTTTTTTGGAAATTAGGCGCGTGACAATATTGCTCCGGTTACTCGTGGCAGGAGGTAGAGGGTTCAGAGGGGCCCCCTCTGAAACGATACCTTCATTACATCATTACGCTTGATTAAGAAATGTTTTAAATTAATTTATGCTACTCTACCGGGTACATTGGAATGGAAATCAGGCCCATGTAGCAAGATTCTATCCAGTTTGAAAAGAGCACTTTCAAAATTTGGGGTCATCACATTTTGTAAATATTCTTGCCATGAAGAAATATACATTAAAAATCAGGTAGATTTTGTCCAAATAGCTATATGTCGTTTATCTAATGTGGTTATCGTGCCACAGTTTGGCCCGGCAAAAAAGCGTATAAATTTTACGGCCGCTCTCTGCTTATGCTGTGAGTAAGATAGTGTGTCACTATTGGGACATTCATTTTTTATGAGCGCTAATATACCCACCTCCATCCAACGTCACTGTGGCCATGGCAAAAGCGCCGTAGAGCGCGACGCGTAAAGCTCTGACGCGGTTGTCAACTGTCATGTTGACGATCTTAGCGGTGGACCCGGCTATGTCACGGTACAACTGAACCTGGACATAGGGCAAGGGCCATACAATGAAAAGACATTTAACAACCTAAGTACACATATCGGCCGATTTCTTGTCTTTGATCGATGGGTTTAGCTTGAGAAGACGTCTGTGATTGGTTTACAGAGTTACAAACTCAAAACATTTTTTTGGAAGTCAGGCCCCAGAAGTCATTTCGATAAGCTCAGTTGTCAGACTCGGCCGTAGCCGCCGTAGAGTCTGGAACGAACCCTACATGTACCGTCAACGTTTGTGTGTTTGAAACCTAGCGTCTCAAATATATATCAACCAAGCCTGAGAAGGAAATCCTGGTTCAAAAATTAAAATTTGATTTTGAATTGGTGTACATAAGATTAATGGAAAAAGGCGCAAAATAGTTTTATAACATTTTTAAACGAGAGTCAAATAGGAGTTTTATGTTTCGTTTAAGTGCGGTTTTGAACGGGTTTACCTACCTAGCATTTCTAGACTTTATTTCTACAAACAGGGTTTAGGAAGACGAGGAATACGAAATAAATTCTGTAACGAACACATCTTTGTGTTGACTTTCAAATGGAAATTGTACATTATTACTTTCCACTTATCATTTCACGTCACGTTTTATCAGAATTGAAAAAATGCCGTCTCAGTCAAGTCTGCTATAGAGATGCTAACCTGTTCTCAATAAACATTTGTCAACATTATAGATGGTTTCTAGATGAAGAGAAATTAGCGGTTACAGAAAGTGACTCACTTCACCCTCAAAAAAACTCTCCGAGAGTGGGGAGAGAGCTTTCGTAATATCAGCAGTAGACGGGACATCTATGATGTGCCCTCCTGTCACCAAGGCCACTTCTGTCAGAACCTGGTAGACCCGACTTGCTGAGAGGGGCTGGACCTCCCCTCTTCCACCGTCAGGTCTCTGGGGTGTATCACTTGTGTCGCCCGAACCCAACATATCTAGTGTTGAGTTAGGTTCACTATATGAGTTCCAGGTGTTGGAAACTAATTTTTCTGTTCGACCAACCACCAGTGGTGTTACCTGCGAAAAAAGTGAGTGATATAATCTCCCATCGTTGGACGTTACTCAGGAACACGTCTTTGTTGCCAATGGGTGAGATAAATTTCAGTCTGACGTCCACTCACGCAATATGACACGAGTGGGCGAGTTGCTTGGTACCAAACCTATTCACCAGGCACCTATTCACCGTTAAGTTTTTAAATGTTAGTTAGTTTATAAATACCAGAGGCTAGGTTGTCTGAATCATCGAAACTTCTTGGAATTTCGTAAATAATTTAAACAGGTAGTCCGCTAGCCTCATTTTAGCAGAGTTTAGACAAGTGTGCGTCCAACGTGTACGGAGTGTAAATATTGAACCACATGACTTTTCGAGCCCTTTTCAAGGGGCTTGGATGTTGTTGCATACACCTACCTTTGGTAGCTCCCATTCATAAACAATAAAACATTATTTTAACCTAATTGAAACATAATGAACACCATTAATGAAATTGGTGACGGGAACGGGAAGCAAGCCGTCTCGACTGTAGGGGCTTTCAGCGTTGCCAAGATGGTGCGTTTTGGCTGGAGTTCATATAACAGAACTAGGTCTGTCTCTTATACACATCTAGATGTGTATAAGAGACAGGAACACTCCCGTTGCTCCTCTCACTGCTCAAAGAAATATTTCAATGAATCTCTAGAAGTTTACTCATATCATAAAAATATTATATACTTTACTGAAAATTAAACTTTGATTCGAAGAAAGACGTGAAATATAGTCTTCTCATCATCTTACTCAACTGAATAACATTAATGCTCCGGTCAAATCATTGAGACAAGACTGACCCTTTCGGACATCTTTCACTTATATTATTAATGTCCACACTACATTGACATGGTTTTGAGCCAGGCTACTAGTACTGGTATTGTAACGACACTCACAGGTCAAGTACTGAATATTTTGGTAATGAATACATCTTCGTAAACAAAATGACACTCTTTCTTACCCACAGTTCGAGTAGAAAGCGAACAGCGATGCAAAATGTGCTTTTCTATTTGGAAAATGAACCTTTTATTGCTTTGAGAGCAAGACTCATTGCTAATGATTCAAAACTCATCAACACATGGTCAAGGACTTGTGAGGATACGTTTCAGTGATGATTTGCCTAGGCTCAACTCAACTCATAGGATCAGAACTAAAAAAATCATGAACATTTGTTCTTGGACTCATGAGTATCGGGTTCGAGACTCACGAGTATTGGAATACATCACGAAGATGTACTCCTCAGGCTCGAGACGGTAGCTAGTTGAGTACGAGGGTTGCTTATCGACTGGGTTGCTCCAGGTGGTTAAGGGTAAATTAATTCCGCTATCTGTGACAATGGCCACAGGTGGTCTCCAGTGCAGAGACAGAAGATGGCTGAACAGCTGGTTGCCCACTGCACGTCTGAGCTCGTTGAGGTAGTGCGAGGTGGCCTGTAGTTGGACAAATTCAGATTTTACCCGGTAGCGATCAGCTTTACGTATATGGTGACTTTCAAATTGACGTTTATTGTTGATGTATGAAGCTCATTTGTGCAAATAAGAAATGGTGAAATTTTTGGCTATTTTCTTTACTTTTAAATTCCTGGTAAATTTGCGACTTAAGCAGCCAAGTGATTTTAATACTTATTACCGACCAGCTTTACATATATGGTGACTTTCAAATTAACTTTTATAGTTGATGTACGAAGCTCATTTGTGCAATGGGACTAATTTGTCGTCTTTAATTTTAGGTTGCGCTTATTTGTGCAATGGGGCAAATTTTTCGTCTTTAATTTTAGGTTGCACTATGACCAGGTGGTCAAATATGTTAAATTTCAGAAATTTGTTTAATTAATACATTCTAGCTATGTTGCATCTTACAATGTGGTATTTTGCACTCGCGAGAAAGTAGGACCCTAAAGTTTTGAAGCGATATAGAAAACCAAATTTACACGGAGCTTACTTAACGCTTAAAAACAACGTTTTCGATGAATATAAGGATGAATTTACTCATATCAAACTTTTAGATTAAACCCTCTCAACTTCGGGACGAACACTGACCTGCGCAGCGAGTGTTGCAGCTCTGTCGTGCAGGTCGGGACGGGGACTGAAGCAGGCTGACGGCAGGTCTTTGCTGATGCCTTCCTCCACTCTTTGAGTCCGTCCCACCTGGCGAGGTGGCAGCTGACATTTGCCTGTTGAAGAAGGAGGAATTATCTCTAACAAAATTTAATGGCAGGCCTGAATCTGCATTTGTCCGGCTTCATTTTCCATGTATCGTCTATAAAATGTCAATTATAACCTGTAATCAGGTTGCCAAAAGTTTCAACTTTTTATTACAGTGATTCTTTTATACATAATACTTCTGCTGCACTTTGATTATGCTTTTAGTCAATATTTCATTTATCCAGGCAAAGTGCTGCAAAGCTCTTGACTCATGCGTTTGCAAGTTAGGTATATTTGAGAGTTATTCAGTCATATACTGACTTTCACCTACCAATATGTGGGCAAATTAGAAAAATATGGTTCTACTACATTGGAATTTATTATATTATCGTTTCTGCACATAGATAATGTTAATAGTCTGATCCATGTACATTGTAAACGAGGTATTATGGTAAGATTATTTTAGTTGAGTTACCTCTCGCGGACGAATTTTGTGTGCTCAGTGTGACTGGATCAGGGTCCAAACACTTTGACCACAATTCAGAGAGCAAAATTTAGGTTAGTAAGATTATGTAGTAGTTGTGGAGATATCTCGCTAGTCTAACCGACTGACAGGGGGCGTTTGGTTTAACGAGGCGTAAGTAAAAGATTCTCTAAGACTAAGTACGGCGTAGGCGGACTAATACGACGCGGTTCTTGGTTAGTCCCAGCCGCTGGCAGTGCTCTGGTGCGGCTCGCATGCGTATAGTTTGTGCCTCTCGTGTCGAGGGGGTTAATGCCTTCCGCACTTTAGAGTAAACGGCTCTTGGCATCTCGGCTCGGCTAGTACTCTTTCATTTGTCATCTAACTCTTCTGCGTCTTGGTATGGCTTGTACCCATATCACTCGCTTTTTTCAGCAGTGTACTGGTGTTCGAATTTTCGTAAATCTGCCGCAAATGTCCGCATCGCTTCAGAATTTGAAGGACAGCGACTGAGCAGCTTGAAAACATTGCATGACTTGTTTTGGTCAACTTTTCTCATACTCTCAGTACACACTTGCCATACTCTCACGACACACTTGTCATACTCTCATGACACACTTGTCATACTCTCAGGACACACTTGTCATACTCTCAGGACACACTTGAACGCCAAACATCGCGCCACCAATCACGCCACACGCAATGCCACACATCGCGCCACACATCACGCCACATCATCCATCAGAGTTTCCACGCCACACCTCACGTCGCACATTACGCCACACATCAAGCCACACCGTATGACCTTATGGTGAGTGTAAAACTTCTCAATCCATGGTCAAGCTGATGCACCGCCTTCGTCGTCCTCCGTCTTCGAGTCGTCGTCGGATGTAACGTTGAACGTGTTCCATCTATTTGCCCTCCTTTGGGCCAGCTGACGCAAGATGCTGTTGCTTGTCACTTGCTGAGGGTAATTTCCCATAACTGAACAATCCGGGATCTTCTTCAGAAACTTATCCAGTTTTCTCTTGAAAATCGCAAGGATGAACTCCCCTCCTTCTCCGGTTGGTAGGGGGGCTCAGACTGGTGAGATGGTAACTGGTAGGAGTGGGGCTCAGAGGGTGAGAGTTGGGTTTCGGCCTATGGCAGAGTTAGGGCTGGGGGAAAGGAGAGGGGGGCATGGGAAAGGAGGGGATGAGGCTGGAGGGAAGGAAGTGGGGATGGCCGTACTGGGAATGATTGTATGCCCAACGTTTATTGCTGACTAAAGCTTTATTTTACTCACAGTGTATTTATCTCCGCATTCTTTCTGAACGCAGTGTTTGCACTCACTTATCCAGTCTCACGAGGTAGTACAACGGAAGCTCTGTGCACTGCAGGTGGATAAACGAACGGCATTTGTGGCATTGAACAGCTAATGGTGCTTTAAAAGACATACGGCAGATTGCACATGAACTACCCTTAGTGGGCTCAATCACAAAACATTTTGCCATAATGCCTTTTTTAATTCGTTTATTTAATAACTAATTATTTGCGCCTATCACACTTTGGTTTCGCTGATCCACTTCTTTATTGAAAAAACAACTATTTTGATTTTCAACTTGAATGGGGGAATTTGAGTTAGGTTTAATCAAGTAAATCCGAAACCGAAATTTTGTCTCGGTTTGCCGGTCGACAAAAATTACAAAATTTTGAAGTATTAGACTGGTCTGAACACTTCCAACTGGCTTCAACACTTCCAGAGGCTTAATGAGTTTCCTGATCTACCACGATCACTTCACTGGATTTATAACACGTGAGCTCAGATTTGAAAATAGCACAACCAGCTCAAAACTCAAAAATTATAACTCAGTACTCACTGCAGTGAGTGACAGAGAGCGCATTTTCTCGTCGACGAAAACATAAAGTCACGGACGGACGGACAGACGGACATGGCGAGCACAATAGTGAATTTTTTTCATAAATGAGAACATGCGCTAAAAACGACGTACATTCTGGCCCGCGGCAATAAATTTCACTCGGAGCGACGCACGTCCTGCAACCACCACGTCCAGAATGGAACTGCAACATGCCGAAAAGGAACACACGTCACACATCACGCCACGTGCCTGACAGTGGTATAGTTTCCATGGCTGCTAGGTAGTCTGATGTCAGTATGCCTGATGTCAGCACAGTGTCTGTCAGGCCACCGCTACAGTCAGTCCCGGTCTGACGACATCAGAAAAATATTTCTTTTAATTGGACAATATTAATAGTTAAAAATTGTCAAAAATGACTTTTCAATAATAATTAATAGGTAAGAAGGATGATAAGTTTCCATAGTTAAAGAAAAGAAAAATATCAATAACTTAATTAAACGGGAACAAATTTTATCTGCATGGAAATTAACGATAACGATAATAAATGAAAATGGCAGGTATTAAATGAGGCTTGGTAATAGGTTCCGTTGCGATAGGATTTTTTTTCAGTTATTTCTAATTTTTTTTTCATTCCATAATTATAAGGAGGTTCCGTTGTGATAGGGTTTTTTTCATGCAGAGTCAAATTAGAGTTAAATGAATTTAGTTTTAAGATCATTTGTTGCTTGAACCGTAAAAGAACCAAGCGTTTTATGAAAAAGAAAATTCAATAAAAATCCATGAGAAATTTTCCTGTTTTTAAAAGCATTTTTATTCGTTTATAATTCCTGACGACTCAACAATTAAAAGGGTCAGCCCACACTCAGATAAATCAGTGAGACTATTAAAATAGCTATTCACTTCTTTGCTCCTTGTGTGAGTCATCCTGACCTAGTGTGGCCCGGCAAAATGATGTATCAGTGCTACGTTCGCGCCTACTGTCAAGTGCTGTGGTTAAAAAATTATGTCATAATTTGGACAAAATGCTCGAACATTTCTGTGCGCTCGGCGCCTCACAGGATGGCAGGGGGTGCAGGTCTCCTCGTCGAAGCGGGCAACTTCTGGCAAGGTTCCCCCTGGAAGTCCTGGGGGGGGGGAGGGAGGGAATCCATTAAATCCGATGGTTTTATGGTCATTACTTCACTTTGCCATGAAAAGTCACTCAAGAGTAATTTTAAAACATCAATCAAGGCAAAGAACATAAACGCATGAAGTCCCTAGTCACCCTACAGCTTCGGCAAGACATGGCCACATAACAGCCACAGCAAGACTTAGCCCCCTACAGCCACAGCAAGACTTAGCCCCCTACAGCCACGGCAAGACCTGGCCATCCAACAGCCACGGTACGACATAGCCACCAACAGCCATGGCAAGACCCTCCTACAGCCCCGGCAAGACCTGCCACCCTTCAGCCCCGGCAAGACCTGGCCACCCCACAGCCACGACATGACCTGGCCACCCTACAGCCCCGGCAAGACTTGCCATCCCACAGCCACAAGACCTGGCCACCCTTTAGCAACGACAAGACATAGACTCGTCCAGTAACGTTTAAAATCATCCCCACCGAGGCACGGTGCAAAGGATCTTATTTCCATTATTCAGAAACCCAAACTGACCTAAGTCTTCAAGGATGGAGTCGTGACCCAGCTCTATCCAGTTGGAGTGGGCGTAGAAATCCTGTAGGGCGGCAAGGGACGTCCCCAGCAGGTACCTCGTTGCTGTCACGTCGAAGGACTTCAACGCCCCGACCAGCCGCCCCCACCGCGCCTGCAGCACCGCGTGCGACGTCTCGAACTGCTCGTTGTTGAAGTGGTACCTTGTGGTGGAGGTGGTAGTGCATGGTGAGTTGCCTCATGTGGAAGAAGTGGAGGTGGTAGTGCATGTTGAGTGGTTCCATGTGGAAGAAGTGGTGGTGGTAGTGCAAGGTGAGTGGTCCCATGTGGAAGAAGTGGTGGTGGTAGTGCATGGTGAATGGTTCCATGTGGGAGAAATGGAGGTGCTAGTACATGGTGAGTGGTTCATCATAGTACATGGTGAGTGGTTCATCATCCCCTAAGAAGTGGGTTTGGTAGTGCATGGTAAGTGGTCCCATGTGGAAAAAGTGGTGGTGCTAAATTGTGGCAACTGTTCAAGTGATTGTGAAGAGGTGCCTGAGTTTGTAATAACGCGTGGTGACTGAGTAGCACCCTTTGAGGGGGTTGTTGATTGTACTTTTAACGTCATATAACGGAATAATATCATAAACGCTCTTCGAAAACTTAATAAAGTGTATCTCAAGTTGGACGAACACTCTTATGTCATTAGCATAGGTAGGTGACTCATTGAATTCGGAATCCTGCCCACTCGAATTATTTGTAAACCACTAACTCGTATTTGCCACTCACATTGGTTGAAAACTCAACAACCGGCTCGTTCCCTCGCCACTTACATAGGCTGGGTGCCCATGCCTCCCTCGTGGGTTTCAGCAGCAGCGTCAGCGATGTCCTGCAGGGCACGCTGGAGACGCTTGGTAGACGGGTGTGAATTCCCATAGCCATATTCATATTGGTTATATGCCCTGTAGGCCTCCTCCAGCGTCATGTCCAGGCTGTAGCTGCCCCCGCGGTAGTTCACACTGTCCTGGAGCGAGCGGTACAGTTATGCAATATTAATGGCGCCAGAGTTTACTAGGCCGAATATGAATGGGTCTTACATGAATGAATGAAAAATGAACGGAAAATGAATGGAATATGAATTCACACAGCAAAATTAATGGTTCACACTGTCCAAATAGTGACAATCTTTCTCACCCACACGACGAACAGTAAGCGGATTTGACCTGTTTACGGACCAAACTAGGTAGTGGTGAATCACTATTTGGACAAGTCTCGCGTATTTTTCTGAGTGTGGCCTGTGTCCGGTGTCAATCTGGCGTCTCATTATAATCATTATAATTGTATGTAATTGAGACGTAATATTCACTTGACCCGATAGAGATTGATGACATGAGTTAACATCTGGAAGACACGTGATAGATCATGCGATCAAGACCTTAGTAGTGGGCGGAACCGAAGGCGATATAAGAGCTAGCAACCTTAAGTAAGGCCCCCGCAGTAGCTGATAAGCTCTCCGCGATGTACCGTGTCGGTTATGTTTTCCGACCTTACGGTCGACGCCGTAGCATATACCTCTGTATCGGAATGTATAACCACCCCGTATATAAGATTTGTAATCATGACACATGTGTCTTACTTATCCTTCACGACCTCAATCACATAACACGATCCTCAGGTAGAGCTTAATTCAAAATGATCACGAACACCCATCAAAGATACAAACACCCATTAAATATAACAAATTATTCGTCTTGTCCAAATGTATTTTCACCTGCAACAGAGACACAGCAATGTTAGCATTACAATATATCAAAAAGATAGTACACTGAGAGAAATGTGCGGGTCTGGGTGACCCACTGAGATGAGTCAACCGCGTCCAAATAGAGATGCACTTTTTTGAATCGCTTGCCCCATTTATGGGTCATATCGACCTATTACTGGCTTTTTAAATTTCATGTATAACTCGTTTGCACTAAATTACTCATAATTACTAAAATGGCACACAATTACTAAAACTACTCGCAAATGCTAAAAATAACTAACAATAACTAAAATTACTAACAATTAATAAAATGACTCACAATTACTAAAATAACTCACAATAAATGAGTCACAATTACTAAAATGACTCATAATTACTAAAATTACACACAATTACTAAAATGACTCACAATTACTAAAATGACTCACAATTACTAAAATGACTCACAATTACTAAAATGACTCGCAATTACTAAAATGACTCGCAATTACNAGACCTTAGTAGTGGGCGGAACCGAAGGCGATATAAGAGCTAGCAACCTTAAGTAAGGCCCCCGCAGTAGCTGATAAGCTCTCCGCGATGTACCGTGTCGGTTATGTTTTCCGACCTTACGGTCGACGCCGTAGCATATACCTCTGTATCGGAATGTATAACCACCCCGTATATAAGATTTGTAATCATGACACATGTGTCTTACTTATCCTTCACGACCTCAATCACATAACACGATCCTCAGGTAGAGCTTAATCTAAAATGATCACTTACACCTGTCGATGATACACGATATAACAAATTATTCGTCTTGTCCAAATGTATTTTCACCTGCAACGGAGACACAGTAATGAATGTTAGCATTACGATATATCAAAATGATAGTACACTGAGAGAAATGTGCGGGTCTGGGTGACCCACTGAGATGAGTCAACCGCGTCCAAATAGCTATGCACACTTTTGACCCCCTTGTCCCATTTGTGGGTCATACAGACCTATTACTGGCTTTTTAAATTTCATGTCTAACTCGTTTGTAGTAAATTACTCATAAATACTAAAATGACTCACAATTAGTAAAATTACTCACAACCACTAAAATGACTCACAATTACTAAAATGACATTCAAATACTAATAACATGCGTTTTAAACTAACTTTTCAATGACAACACTTTTAAAGAGGCCAGTGTCTCAGATATTGCACATGTACAATGAATTGCTTATTTTATTTTTATTTATTAAAAATAAGTTGGAATTTTTTAATATTAAAATAAATTAAATTTTCAATATTATTTATTCCGTCAATTGATTCATGCATTTTTTCCGACTTTACGCAAGTGTGCAAGATTTCAGATCGATCGGACAGGTAGAAGTGTTAATATCGAGCATAAGATTTGTAGCAGACAGACAGACAGACAGACAGACAAACAAACAAGAAGAAAAGTTAAAGAAAAAGTGTTGTAAAATAGTGTTTGTTAAAGAGAAGTGGGGATGTGTTAAAGAAAAGTGTTGTAAAATAGTGTTTGTTAAAGAGAAGTGGGGATGTGATAGAGTGAAGTGTTGTAAAATAGTTTTTGTTAGAGAGAAGTGGGGATGTGTTAAAGAGAAGTGTTGTAAAATAGTGTTTGTTAAAGAGAAGTGGGGATGTGTTAAAGAGAAGTGTTGTAAAATAGTGT